GTCACTCCTCACATCCCTCATGTCACTCCTCCCTTTCCTCATGTCACTCCTCACATCCCTCATGCCACTCCTCACATCCCTCATGTCACTCCTCACATCCCTCATGTCACTCCTCCCTTTCCTCATGTCACTCCTCACATAACTCATGCCACTCCTCACATCCCTCATGTCACTCCTCCCTTTCCTCATGTCCACTCCTCACATAACTCATGCCACTCCTCATATCCCTCATGTTACTCCTTTCTTTCCTCATGTCACTCCTCATTCCCCTCATGTCACTCCTCCCTTTCCTCATATCACTCCTCCCTTTCCTCACGTCACTCTCCCTTTCCTCATGTCACTCCTCCCTTTCCTCATATCACTCCTCCCTTTCCTCACGTCACTCTCCCTTTCCTCAAGTCACTCCTCCCTTTCCTCACGTCACTCCTCCCTTTCCTCACGTCACTCCTCCCGTTCCTCATGCCACTCCTCCCTTTCCTCACGTCACTCCTCCTTCCCCTATTGTCACGCCTACTACAAAGATCTACAAACAAGTTATTGTAAAATAGGCCTTACATAAAGGAAGGAATGACATGAGGAAAGGGAGGAGTGACGTGAGGAAAGGGAGGAGTGGCTTGAGGAACGGGAGGAGTGACGTGAGGAAAGGGAGGAGTGACGTGAGGAAAAGGAGGAGTGGCATGAGGAACGGGAGGAGTGACATGAGGAAAGGGAGAGTGACGTGAGGAAAGGGAGGAGTGATATGAGGAAAGGGAGGAGTGACATGAGGGGAATGAGGAGTGACATGAGGAAAGAAAGGAGTAACATGAGGGATATGAGGAGTGGCATGAGTTATGTGAGGAGTGACATGAGGAAAGGGAGGAGTGACATGAGGGATGTGAGGAGTGACATAATGGATGTGAGGAGTGACATGAGGGATGTGAGGAGTGGCATGAGTGATGTGAGGATTGGCATTAGGGATGTGAGGAGTGGCATGAGGGATGTGAGGAGTGGCATGAGGGATGTGAGGAGTGGCATGAGGGATGTGAGGAGTGGCATGAGGGATGTGAGGAGTGACATGAGGAAAGGGAGGAGTGACATGAGGGATGTGAGGAGTGACATCAGTGCAAACAGGAGGGAAAAGAGAAGCCGAAAGTAGTGAAAGAATGTGTTTGAAATGGACCCTAACCAATCAGAGCATTGCTGACTGACACATGTTAAAAGTATAGCTAATTAAAAGGGAATCTGTAATAGCTTGTCAAGTTCAGTATATGCTTGGTACTCAAAGTGTTAAGACGCGAATTCAAAAATATGGACATATTTCATAAATCTGCGAGGAGTAACGAAAGAAAAGATAAGAGACTTTTAGAAAAGGCGGATATATTTGATAACGTGGTGCGGACAAGTAAAATGACTGGACGTCCAAGGAGTAAAACACCGCGATCTGAAATGTACATACGCATGGTACTTCCAGTGGAACAGATGACAGCTATAGCTAAAAGCATGCTCGAGCGTCAAGCTAAACCAAAAGATGTGTCAATTATAGGTCAGAAAGAAATACAATTCACTAGCGCAAAACGTAAACGGCAGAATTCAAAAGTTGATGATAAAACAACGAAGAATAAGAAATCTAGACAGCAAGTGCCATCGTCTGGAAGAAACAAGACAGAGAACACGGGTGAACAGGACAACATCGTAATTATAGGACAAGTATAAACTTAAATGCTACCTCACTCCTCCTCATTTTAGTTTAAGACGTTGAGGACGATGTTTCATTGCGATATTTGTTTGAAAACGTTTGGGAGAAAGTATAATATGTTACGTCATAAAAAGTCTGCGCACTCAGACATCGACTCAATTGAAGACGCTATGTCGGACATACCAGTAAAAGAGGATATTTTTTGGACCCGTAGATGACACTGATTCAAATCATAGTAACGACGATGATGATTCATCTATAGCCTCAGAGGAGTCTTTGACGATCGATCCTTGGGATGACGTTGTAGATGAAGTGTTTCAAAAGTGCCAGTCGCAGTATGACTCTAAGGTTAAAGAGCTAATGGAGGAAGAAACAGACATCAGTGATAGTGAAGCCAAGGAAAGGGTTTTTTAGGAATATGAGAACAACGTACAGAGAAGCAATGATGAACACTTTTGGCAGTAAATTGATTTGGTTCGATGCTATGAAAAAGGATCCCATTTACAAATCTATTAAAAAGACAGTCAATCGGCTGATTGATGCGGATGGTTACGACGAAGAGGAAGCTTTGAAATACGGCATACTTAAGAGGAGGTTTCTGTTTGACAAGGTCTTAACTTCCTATGACAATCCAGAGTTGGAAGGAGAGGATGACATGGAGCAAGAGGAAGACATAGAATGATAGTGTAAAATCCCATTACATATACTTACACTTGATCAGACGAGCAGTTCTGGAAATAACCTTTTTTAATGTAAAAAGAAAAATGATTACAAGTGTTCATTTCTGTTTATAAATTAATCTGGAAAAAAATGGATAAATAGACGCTGTCGTTTTAAATCGTGAGACAACAAAAGTGAATGATATACATTTGTATGTAGATATAAATATATGCAATAGAACTAGTGCACTGTTATAAAATGCTGGATGGACGTTACATGACTTAAAAAAATACTCTTATTATATAAACTATACAATAAATCTTACTTTAGAAGATTTTATGCTTAGCCAATAAATTGTAAAAAAAATGTATGTAACTTTTCATACTGTTGCATGTTAATGGTAAAATATTGTATCAATAAAACAATTAAGCTATATTCCTTGTTGAATTTATTTTTACGTTCTCATTTGACCGTTATTTTGAACCTTTATATTGGTGGTCGCAATATTGATATAAGTGTGTGTGTGTGTTTGGATGGGGTGGGGAGTACTGGTATTAGGTAAAATTTCGTGTTGAATGTGGTAAACTAGGGTTTATTTGACACCCCTTATTAAAAATGGTGTACTCCAGGTAATTAGAATATTTTAAGATTTAATAAGCTTGGTGAAAAACAAACTTGTAATGTCAAAAAAAATATGAATATAATTATAGGGATTTGTCAATAGAATATTTTAAAATTTGATATGCTTGGTAAAACAATTAAAGTTATAGAATAGTTTGGTTGCATTCTCGCAGACATTCAGGATTCTTGATGTCAATGAGGTTAAGACTGGTTCCATGATTATGACATTTTGAGCTCTAGGAACCTTCCCGAGTCTATTTTAACTGGTCTGCGACTGATTCTGAGGTACTCGCAGACTTTCAGGAAATTTTGGTGCCAATGCAGATAATGATAATTTTGACATCTAGGGACCCTGTAGAGTCCATTTTAGTGGTCTGCGACTGTTTCTGAGGTACTCTCAGACTTTCAGGAATTTTTGGTGCCAATGCAGATAATTGTATTTTTGACTTCTAGGGACTCTCAAGACTCCATTTCAGTGGTCTGCGACTGTTTCTGACGCTCTCGCAGACTTTCAGGAATTTTTGGTGCCAATGCAGATAATTGTATTTTTGACTTCTAGGGACTCTCAAGACTCCATTTCAGTGGTCTGCGACTGATTCTGAAGCACTCGCAGACTTTCAGGATTTTTTGGTGCCAATGCAGATAATGACATTTTTGACTTCAAGGGACTCTCCACAGTCCGTTTTAGTGGTCTGCGACTGATTCTGAGGTACTCGAAGACTTTCAGGAATTTTTGATGCCAATGCAGATAATGACATTTTTGGCATCTAGGGACTCTCCCGAGTCCATTTCAGTGGTCTGCAACTGATTCTGAGGTATTCGCAGACTTTCAGGAATTTTTGATGCCAAAGGAGTTAAGATCTGTTTTGGTTCTAATGGCCCCCCAGGAGGCCATTGAACCCATTTTCACGTTTATCTCCCCTTTCACGCATGCGCAGTAACCCAAGGAGCAAGAACCACCTAGGTGGTGATTTCTCCCCCCAGTTTTATACTACTTGTATATAACTGTTAATTGAGCCATTAGGCTTATAATCCTTATATTTGGTGGCCAATCTCATTAAAATCTGGTCATATTGAATAATCATTTGATTTTGACAAGAATAATTAATTGTATCATAGTTTTAATGACCTATTTTAGTATTTTTAAGCGGCCATTTTGAATTGACCTTTTGAAGGTCAAGGTCAATTTTATTTTCTTGGTTTCCACCCTCATCGTCTTCAGCATACCTATATTAGGTTAAAACACTCAATATATTACTTGTACTATTAAATGCCTCTAGCATTCATATTTTCTTAAAATCAGTCATGTCTAAATAGGAAGAAAATACGTTTTAAAAAAAAATATATACTCATAAAAAGTTTGTTGAAAGAGCTTCACACCAACGAACGTCTAACGTGTACTCCGAAGTATTCGTTATTTACTGAAGTATTCGTTATTTAACGACAATTTCGTTACAATTTTTGGTATAACGAACGTTTTAGGTTAGAGGGTAAACTAGAGCTTAACCAAGGCTTAACGATGATCGTAACTCTAACGAAAGTTTCTGGTTACTCACCCCTGCAGGTTAGTAGAACTGCACCCAATTGTATAAACGTTGGTTAAATTAAAGCTCTTTAACCAAAATAAATTCTTTCAAAATTTGAAAAATACTGCTATCTCATTGGACAAAAAATAATTTCAAGCACTAAAACATTATATTGCAGCCGAAAGTGACTTACTACCGTGATCTGTTACGCTCATTATGTAACGTCGATATACAGTGACGTCATTGTGGTACACAACAGTGATTTTACTGAGTGGTAATTTGGTGTGCTTAAGACTCAAGTTTACTAGTGTGTGTGTTTTTTTTTTTTTTGTTTTTTTGTTTTGTTTTTTTTGTTAAAATAGTTCCGTATCTCATATATGTCTAAATTTAGTACAAATTGAAGAGGGCTGCTACTTAAAAACTGATAAATATTTCGTTATCTGTAATATATAGCTTAATATATTGATAAAATAATACACGACTTCATGTATTATATTAGATTAGACGTTAGTGTAAGATTATGTGTGACACGGCCATCAACGGTGTAAATATAGACATTGAAAAGCGATATGTATCTATAACAGACAATATTTAGCTTTTTGTATGTACACATGTATATATTTACAAAACAATGATGTTATTTGATGTTGCCATTGGTTTGTTAATTTTATATTTCGTTTGGAAGATCATAATATTGTACTTGCGAACACTGGAGATTAAAAAAGTGTCTGATCGATATGTATTCATAACCGGATGTGACACGGGATTTGGATACCTTCTGGCAAGATCGTTAGACGCAAAAGGAGTGAATGTAATTGCCGGATGTCTAACAGAAAAAGGTTCACGCAACCTGAAGAAGGAAGCCTCTTCAAGAGTAAAGACTGTTCAATTGGACGTGACTGATAAAAAGTCGGTGGAGAGAGCATTTGAACTTACCAAACAATATGTCGGCGACAAAGGTAAAGCACTTTAATACTGACTGACTTTACTTTACTGACTTTATCTTCAGAAAAAAAGTATAATGTACTTGACGCGGTGCCTAGTTCGAACCAATAACTGTTAACTACCATTACCGCTATCAGTACCAATACTACATCACCACCCATATCCACCTTTAACTCCAAAAACAATAACTAATACTATCACTGTTTGTGACCACTACAACAAGTACAACAACCACAAAAAGCATCTAGAGCTACTACTAGAAAACCATTTTTATGGCCGCTTATTTGTGCCATGTATTTTGCTTTACAGAGCGTCAGACCAAAACACGAAATTACGACAAACTGATCATTTTGTCATACTTTCGCGGGGCGTCAGTCGAAAACACGAAAATACGACAAAGTAACTCATATTTCGTGTCTCGCCTAGCCTCCCGTGGACCGAAAATACGACATGGCATAAATCAGCGATAATCCTTTTTTACAAATATATTTTTATTTTCAAGGTTTGTGGGGACTTGTAAACAATGCTGGTATAATGCTGAACTTCTGTCCGGCTGAATGGACGCCATTGAAGGACTATGAAACCGAGAGTAAAGTAAACTTGTTTGGAACAATCGACATGTCCTTGACCTTTCTACCATTGTTACGAATGTCACGTGGTCGCCTGGTGAATGTTTGCAGCGTCATAGCAAATTGGGGATACCCCGGGTTGTCTGGTTATGTTGTGTCTAAATCTGGTGTTAAAATGTTCACAACGTGTTTGAGGTAAGTACAATAATAAATGTATTAAAAGAAACATCCAAATAAAAACCTCATATAAAAAGGAAAAAATCTATTTTCTGTAAATCCTTTTGAGTAATGTCAAATAACCTTTCTTCATAGACTTTTTCGTTTCTAAATGATTGACATTTTCAGACAAGTTTTTGCAGTAAAATCATTGTCTTCTTTATTTTTTTTATTTTTTTTTATTTCCGTTAGCCTCTAATCGCCGTGAGTCGCATGCCGCCAGGAACCGATGTTATTTTCATTTGAGGAAGCTATCTAGCTAGCTTACGAAAGGTCGGTAGTTCTACTCAGATACTCTTTCGTGTCCGAAATAATGCCCTCCACCAGTTAAACTGGAAATTCGCCTTATATCGCTGTGAATAAAAAAAACAACATAAAATTTGAAATCCTTATGAATGAACATCGCACAGTTCTGAAGTCAAATAAATATGGAGCAGGAAAAAAGGCAACATGTTTTGAATACAAAAAAAAGAACAATTATTCAAGGATAGATTCATTAAAGTTGTAAATACATAGCATTATGAAAAACTGGCATTTTTCTGGTTCTTTCGAAGTGTTGAGAATTGAGTACCGCTAAAGCCGGTGCTAGGGGGCGTGAGAGTTGTTGCGCTTTTTCATTATCCCTCATGTACAAACTCAATCAAACCGAGTCTGCAATTTTCATGTAATTTTGCTTTTTTAAATGCTTCCGAGGAATCTCTTTTTTCCAGATTTCTAAATATTTATCAGGATGTACATGTACCATAATATACAAAGTCAATAGTACGTTATTAGGACTTGTTATTTTCTTACGTTACAGAAGGGAGTTGTTTGGTTCCGGTGTCACTACACATACTATCGAGCCAGGAGGTTTCAACACGAATATTGCAAATGAAAGCAAGTTTCTCAAAATATTGAAAACAGCCTACGTTAGGTCGGATACAGAAAGACAAAACTTTTACGGTGGAAAGATCTCTTCATACAGTAAGTGACGTCATAATCTTTTTAAATGACGTGCAGTTTGGACAAACCTGTGTGTGCATTAAAAATTCATCTGCGATAAAGAACACTTCTTTTCAATTAAAGCGCTCGAGTCTTTTTATTACCAGTACTATTACAACATAAAACCTTTTCCTATGTTGGTCGTTTTATACAGGTTTGACTGAATGGCATGATTATTGTTTGTCAGTTGAAAATCATATTTTGTTAAACTATTCTTTAATAAAATAGCATACTAGTAAATGCATATGAAACTTTCGAAATAAATTATACAAACTAGTCTTGAAGACAGAGAACGGTTAGTCCGGAATTTGGCTGTATGCGTTTGAACTTGTCAATGTTTGGAATTTGGTGGTGTGCGGAAATGGGTTTTTACATGCACTGGCTTAGATAGTGTTCAAAATTGGGTTCTAACTGACTAATGTTCTGTGTGAAAAAAAATTTACGTACCAATCGTCAGGTTGTGTGCTGAAATGGGTTCTTACATATGCCAGTTGTTCGGATTTTGGTGGGTTGTCTGCGGAAATAAGTTCAAACTTCAATTGTACAAACTCGAGATATGTGCGGAAATTGGGTGTTTCGTACTAATTATCAGTTGAACTAAGTGCAAAAGTACGGAAATGTATGCAAATATGTAACAAAGAAAAAGTCGCATGTTCACAGGCCTCTCCTTAACTCGTCACAAAAGCCACCACGGCATAGGCAAAACCCGCACAGGTCTCTTGAAACCTTGCAATGATAATTTCAAGCGTTTGCTATTTGCTTTACATTGACATAAAGGGAAGACTTTAGGTGTTTCATTCAACGAAATCGGTGCACCGAGTCGCATGCAGTGCTCTGCAGAACAAAGTTTATAGTAATTTTAGATTATGACACTTTTATATATGTAACAGTATTTGACTTTTTCTAAATCACGTTCATCTAGTCAAACTGACATCTAGTTCTGTTGATTTTTGTCATTAATTGTGTAACATTGCTACCTTTTAATTATTTTGTTGCAATGATATGTACTGCTAGATTGTTACTGTGGTAATTGACAATTTGTTTTATAATAATTTACTATGCATAAATTAAATGAGACATTATTAAAATTCATGTTTAGTAACTTATACGTCTCTTAAACTTATAGTCCTCAATATATGCCAAATGAGAAAACGCCCAAATTGCGACACATGCAGAAAAGGATTTTTTTATCAATTCCATTTATCTAAAATCTTGTCATTTAAAATGCTTATTTACGGATTTTATTTATCATGTTTTCAGTTTTCTTTGTAATAAAATGGTATGGCGTGTTCATTAATACAAAGCCACAGAAAGTCGTTGACGTCATGACGCATGCGCTGTTAGCAAAACATCCGAAGAATTCTTACGCCGTTGGACTGGATGCTACGCTGTTCTTTGGTTTTCTGTCCTGGTTCCCGGAATGGTTGGTGGACAGATTACTCGGGTGGCCAGCACCGGATGGACATTTATGCTCTGAATTGCAAAACATTGCGAATAAAAAGAACTGAATATAGCATATTGTGTGTAATTTGTGTTTATAACATTTCATGAAATCATTAATGTACAGTCACTTCAGGTCTGTTTAAGTAATACTTTCAAAGTTCAGGATGTGTAGAAAATTTTCTTCACTCGTTGTTATTACAAGAAAACAATTGTAAATCATATGCATGTATAGGAATTCGTAAAAATATTAAACATAGATTTTTACATTTTCTCACAACAACAATAACTATATATCAACACAGTTCAATAAATATAACTATTTTTTTTCATTGAGAATAAGAAACACTTCACCTGTAATGCTGTAATATGGCATCTGCGGTGCCCGTGTTACTTCAAGCTCAACCTGTGGCTGCTAGGCCGAGTGTTTACGCGTCGGACTAGTATACAATGTAATAAGAATTGCTGCCACATGTGACGTGGTTTCAAACCCCACTAGTGGCAAACCGTTGCTTCATAGAGCTAGAAAATTTAAACCGCTTAATTGCTCAGTTCTGGTTGCTTCCGGGAACGGATCCAAGAGTGTATTTATAAGCTAATAGCTTTCGGGTTGAGACTAAAATGAGCCATGTCACGACAAAACAAACATAATGGGTTTGCGACCGGCATGGATCCAGACCAGCCTGCGCATCCGCCCAGTCTGATCAGGATCCTTGCTGTTCGCTATCAGTTTCTCTACTTGTAATAGGGTTTGTAAGCGAACAGCATGTATCCTGATCAGACTGCGCGGATGCGCAGGCTGGTCTGGATCCATGCTTGTCGCAAACGCACTATGTTGGTTTTGTCATGACACGGCTCAAATGTGTTGAAGCACCAAACTTAACACCATATTCCGTTATATACCGAACAAGGTGCTGGAATGAATGCTAAAATCTCGCATTTTCCCCTCCAAAATGCTCTTTCAAACGTCTAATTCATCTCTTCACGTCGATTTATATATGAAAATGAATGAAAAATTTAGGAATCGGCAAGAAAGGGATATTTTTATACTTTGTGATCGTGAGTCCTGCAAGCGTCAAGAGACACTGCTCAAACAATGTAGTAAGTTAAAATAAATAAAATATGTATAAACTAAAGAAAACTGAGAACACAAGATGTTTTTCACTTTTTTATGATATTTTGTGTACTAATTTCGTAATGCAGTACAGTGGAGCCTTGCTAATCCGAACCCTTCTAATCCGGAATCCTTTCTAATCCGAACGAAGTGTCCGGTCCCGATTTTATCCGTTCTATTTTTAATAGTAAAAAACCTTTCGGATCCGGAACCTGTCTACTCCGAATTCCGGACGATTTTTTCAATTTTTGTTCTTATTTTACTCTAAAATTTACCTCTCGGATCCGAACAGATTTTGCCAAATGTCACACCTTCATTCAAAATAACAAATTATCGCACATCTTGCAGGTGTAAACATACACCAAACTGATAAGTGTTATTTCGCTTGATTAATGGGTGAAACGTATGATCTGCGAAGGTGTGAAAATTACACTTAGCTTGCCTTGATATCTTCTATAATTGCTTAATTGATTGTTTTTCGTCAGCTTCTATAAATATTTTGATATAATGCAATAGAAATATCTTTTAGTCCTTTGTATTGTATTCAATAATACGTGATTAAGTAATGAAAATTAATGTAAACTGTCAGTAAATTCGGATAGTCGCTGAATCGGATAAGAGTTTAATGCTGGTACGAATATCTAATCATGTCTCGGCCTCCTGTTTAACATCGTAGGTTAACTTACCCTAGAGGACATAATATTGTTGCTTATTTATTTATTTTTGTTTCTTTATTTTTGTATTCAGATGTATTAAAATGAACGATAAGAGACTGCAAAAATAACATATCTAAATTGCAATTTCAAATATATTCCCGTTTTCTTTCCTTAAACTATTTTGCAAATAACATGAAAAAAACGTGTAAAAAACCTTCTAATTCGGAAACCTTTCTAATCCGGAAACCTTTCTAATCCGAACTTTTCTTCTGGTCCGGACGAGTTCGGATTAGACAGGTTCCACTGTACTTATTCTAAAAGCAAAGGAGCGATCGCAAATCTTTGTGAATCTATCACAGAATGGTTTTACAAAGTTAAACGTTCTTTGATTTCCAGTTAAGCTAACACCAGAAGATAAACAATATAAGTGCGCTTGCTTATTGGGAACTCCCCCCCCCACCCACACACACTGTTGTACATTTATTGTAATCATTTTTAGAAATGATAGGAAGCGCCGTTAAGCCTGGTTTTCGAAAAGAATAACGTGAAATAGACTCCTTCCTAAACAAAAGAGCTAATGTGTTTTCAATAGTGTTTAGCGCAAAAAATGGCCAGTGGCTTATCTCGAAGACTTTTTCTATGTCCATTGTGTTGAATTTCCAATTCTACTTGGCTTAGGGCAGACGGTGTACGGGTAGAAATGATCAAATCTTTTCTGGGCGGCGACAACAATAACAAAATTCAGATTGATCACCTATGTCTGTGAAGTTCAAGCCGCCATATTATAAAACGGATAAAAGTGCATGGACATTCGCTTATTTAGAGGTTATAAGTTATATCCAAAACATTTTTTCACCGAATGTTGCTGTTGCAATGATATGTTGGACATATGAAGTAAATAAAAGAAAATCAGGAATAAATTTGTTTACCTTCCTTTATTTGAGAATTGAAAACCTTCATTTAAAATATTATCTTTTTTTTAATAAATTAATATATTTGATACAGAAAATAAATAATGAAACAATATAGAATATATTGCATATGAATGGTAAATGTCATGAATTCGGTTAAGAATTGTCTGATAACGAAAATTTAATTATTCGTTCGTAAAAACTGGGTAAATATCGATACTATGATCCAATAATGGTCTACAAGAAAAGGAGCAACACAACTTTTGTCTACAGACTGCTTTCTTTATAAATATTATAATTGATACGAAAATACCGAAGTTAACCGAATACATGTGTCGTAACGAGTGAATGGTTTATGTAATCCCTGAAGAATGTATTGCCTCCCAGAGCCATACTGTCCATGTATACAAAAACAGAATGTATGGAAATTAAAGAAAAAAAATAACAATAACAGTATTAAGTTCAAGTCTCCACTTTTACAGACATACACGAGTAGCTCCTTATAATTCTGCCTACTGCACCCATTCTCCATCAAAAATTCATTTTCCCCTCCTTCAATTCCTGACAGAGAGGACCGTAAGGTGCATTCCATCCAATTATTAGATCAGAAATTCTTTCGGGCAAAGCCGCCAGCATCCGGAAAAACAAATGTGCATCCATTCCGATTAAATACCGGTTGTTCGGATATTTTGCCAACAGCGCATGCGTCATTGCGTCGGCAACTTTCTGAGGATTAGTACTCACATACTTTGCTGTGTTGTAGATTCCACCAATCACTGGAAAAGAAATATTTTTAATTCCAAGCCTGATTTATAAATATCATAAATGCTTTTCGGTACCACAAACTGTTTAAGTTATAAATTCCAGCAATAAGTAAAATAACACATTTTGTGTAAGCATCAAATGGGTTCCTACTTCATGTACTTGAAACTATTTTTCCTTGGTCGGAAGTAGCGCGCTATTTGGTTTACGCTAAAAAAGTAGTTCTGTACTTGCCACTTTGTTGTTTTTATTGAACTAAATAAATACTTAAGAAACAGCATTCATGATCTTGTCACGGTTCAGAATAGTGTGTAAGCGGCCAGATAGCTCAGTCGGTAGACCCGCCGTAGATTATGCCTAGGGTTACGGATTCGTGTCCCGTCAGTCTGCACATTTTTTCATCCTGTGACACTCTGAGATCGTCTTTACATTATAAGATATTTTCTAAACTGAGGAACCTTGAAAATGTTTCTCTTAAAATCAACCATTTTTAAGAGAAATGTATGTTAATTTTGCTCACTAGGGCGCCGCCATTTTGAGGATGTAACTATGTTAATACTTACAGTATCTCGATATGTTACCACCATAACATTTCTGCGCATCCGGTTGCGCTCTCAAATAAGCTTTATATAATATATCAAACAGTCTGTGCTTGTCGGTAATATTTGTTTTAAAGCCTCCAGGTTCGATAGTGTGCGCAGTAACTCCTGTATGCAATAGCTCTCGTCTGCAACATATATATTCAAAATTCATGGCTAAAGTTGTATATGTTCCGTTAGAATATTCGTGAGGACATTGTCAATTAAAAAAAGGAACTATTTCATTTTATTTAGAAGTTACACTTGGCTGTTGCCCATTTGTAAAAGACATGCAAAGGAACGCAATGGCCTGGGGACTTTCTGGGGTGAAAGCGGTTGCTACATTTTGTTCTCGGCCATGTTCAAGGAGTTCAACAGGTAAAGAACAAACGATATTTTTGTAACGGATGGGAACCAAACAAAAAATGTTTCTCCATGGGTATGAAAGAAATGCAAGCTATACCGTAAACAGGACGTGAACATCTTGATGCCAGCTTTGGACACGACGTAATCTGAAATGCCCGGATATCCGCAATTTGACGTCACGCTGCATACATTAACTAATCTACCTTGCGATTGTCGTAAATATGGAAGAAACGCCAGAGTTACGGAAATTGTTCCAAATAGGTTGACCTTACACGCCCTTTCATACTCTTCTAAAGTTGTCCATTCGGCAGGGGCGTATGATGGCATGATTCCGGCATTATTCACAACTCCCCAAATCCCTGAAATACAAAAGAGAATGTCAGATCAAAGGCACTATAATTATACTTAAAAACAGCATGCCTCTAAATAAGGCCAATTTTCATGAAAAATTTTAAAATGCATTTAAAAGTGAAATATTGTGAATTAAACGAAGAAATTAATTTTCACATTACAAATGGCACTTCACTCCATGGGAATTCCACGTGAATTACCAAACAGAGGTCAAAATATGCAATAATAGCCATTACTGCGTTAGAAACGCAGTAGAAATATGGTAACAAATACTGCAAAAATAATTGATTATTCGCATATGACATTAAATTATTACTTAAATCTTCAACGTTATTACTTTTCTGAAAATCTTAGTACATTTTTCTCAAACAATTCTTGAACTAGTTTGGCTCGTCTCAGCTTTATAGCAGGAATGCAAAAACTAAAAAGTAAATATGGCAGCATTCACACTCTTTGTCCCTGAAATTATTTTATTTAATATGAAAAGAGATAAAATGAGTACTGTTGTATTTCAACAAATATAAAAGTG